CTCCTTAAGATGTTGGCTATCCACTGCAGGTGATTTTAGCTAGATGCGCTGCGTATTTCCGCGAATGCTGGGGTAGAAAACGGGAGCAACAAAGGAACGACCTTCACACACGCCGTCAACCTCACAACCTTTTTTTTTTTTTTTTTTTTTTTTTAAGTCTGTATACTATTTGTCACTTAAGGATGACCAGTAAATTTAATGTAGTTAAATAGCAGATATTTGCGGTAATTGGGAGACGAGATAATTAATTATTGCTGCTAATTAAAAAATTAAAGAACAAAAGGCCTACCTTGGCCGTTATGTTTCTTCTGTTTTCATCTGTTGCTTGCACTGCAGGTAATCCAATGTAATCCGATTGAGAAAAACACAGAAATTATAGGTAAACACACTCACACTGCACTGTATAATATCGCAAAAATTGAAGAATTTCTTAAGTCCCGAAAATTGCTGAAGAAATTAGTAAATTCAGAAGTTATTGACGGATTTTCTCCAAATTTTGAAACTTCCACTTCCTGGGGCTTGAGTTGAAGAATGTCGTTTATTCCAGAATGCTACGCCAATTAGGGGCTTAATTAGCAGGCTGATTAGTATTACTCCAGTACCTCTTGTTTACCTTTGTAGACTGGTTTCAATTCGAGGACGACGGGGGGTAGATGACATCCGGTTGACCGTCGGAGTGGGAAAAGGTCAGAGTTCACCAAATTAAAACGTGGTAAATCATATAAAAATTAATTTCGCGACTTCTAATTATCTCACTGCTATGAAATTACCCTCAAAATACTCGTGAAGATGTGGAGCGTCTAGCAGTATGAAAATCCAGGCTCATCGATGAAAGGTGACTGCTGGGCGGGCGATCAAATACGCGTTGTAAGGCTTACTTGGGTATTCGAAGCGTAGATGAAGCAATTAATCTGTAATTAATTAAACGGTGGACCAATCTTGAAAATTTTGCATCGATGTGCTCCTTAAGATGTTGGCTATCCACTGCAGGTGATTTTAGCTAGATGCGCTGCGTATTTCCGCGAATGCTGGGGTAGAAAACGGAGCAACAAAGGAACGACCTTCACACACGCCGTCAACCTCACAACCTTTTTTTTTTTTTTTTTTTTTTTTTTAAGTCTGTATACTATTTGTCACTTAAGGATGACCAGTAAATTTAATGTAGTTAAATAGCAGATATTTGCGGTAATTGGGAGACGAGATAATTAATTATTGCTGCTAATTAAAAAATTAAAGAACAAAAGGCCTACCTTGGCCGTTATGTTTCTTCTGTTTTCATCTGTTGCTTGCACTGCAGGTAATCCAATGTAATCCGATTGAGAAAAACACAGAAATTATAGGTAAAACACACTCACACTGCACTGTATAATATCGCAAAAATTGAAGAATTTCTTAAGTCCCGAAAATTGCTGAAGAAATTAGTAAATTCAGAAGTTATTGACGGATTTTCTCCAAATTTTGAAACTTCCACTTCCTGGGGCTTGAGTTGAAGAATGTCGTTTATTCCAGAATGCTACGCCAATTAGGGGCTTAATTAGCAGGCTGATTAGTATTACTCCAGTACCTCTTGTTTACCTTTGTAGACTGGTTTCAATTCGAGGACGACGGGGGGTAGATGACATCCGGTTGACCGTCGGAGTGGGAAAAGGTCAGAGTTCACCAAATTAAAACGTGGTAAATCATATAAAAATTAATTTCGCGACTTCTAATTATCTCACTGCTATGAAATTACCCTCAAAATACTCGTGAAGATGTGGAGCGTCTAGCAGTATGAAAATCCAGGCTCATCGATGAAAGGTGACTGCTGGGCGGGCGATCAAATACGCGTTGTAAGGCTTACTTGGGTATTCGAAGCGTAGATGAAGCAATTAATCTGTAATTAATTAAACGGTGGACCAATCTTGAAAATTTTGCATCGATGTGCTCCTTAAGATGTTGGCTATCCACTGCAGGTGATTTTAGCTAGATGCGCTGCGTATTTCCGCGAATGCTGGGGTAGAAAACGGAGCAACAAAGGAACGACCTTCACACACGCCGTCAACCTCACAACCTTTTTTTTTTTTTTTTTTTTTTTTTAAGTCTGTATACTATTTGTCACTTAAGGATGACCAGTAAATTTAATGTGTAGTTAAATAGCAGATATTTGCGGTAATTGGGAGACGAGATAATTAATTATTGCTGCTAATTAAAAAATTAAAGAACAAAAGGCCTACCTTGGCCGTTATGTTTCTTCTGTTTTCATCTGTTGCTTGCACTGCAGGTAATCCAATGTAATCCGATTGAGAAAAACACAGAAATTATAGGTAAACACACTCACACTGCACTGTATAATATCGCAAAAATTGAAGAATTTCTTAAGTCCCGAAAATTGCTGAAGAAATTAGTAAATTCAGAAGTTATTGACGGATTTTCTCCAAATTTTGAAACTTCCACTTCCTGGGGCTTGAGTTGAAGAATGTCGTTTATTCCAGAATGCTACGCCAATTAGGGGCTTAATTAGCAGGCTGATTAGTATTACTCCAGTACCTCTTGTTTACCTTTGTAGACTGGTTTCAATTCGAGGACGACGGGGGGGTAGATGACATCCGGTTGACCGTCGGAGTGGGAAAAGGTCAGAGTTCACCAAATTAAAACGTGGTAAATCATCATATAAAAATTAATTTCGCGACTTCTAATTATCTCACTGCTATGAAATTACCCTCAAAATACTCGTGAAGATGTGGAGCGTCTAGCAGTATGAAAATCCAGGCTCATCGATGAAAGGTGACTGCTGGGCGGGCGATCAAATACGCGTTGTAAGGCTTACTTGGGTATTCGAAGCGTAGATGAAGCAATTAATCTGTAATTAATTAAACGGTGGACCAATCTTGAAAATTTTGCATCGATGTGCTCCTTAAGATGTTGGCTATCCACTGCAGGTGATTTTAGCTAGATGCGCTGCGTATTTCCGCGAATGCTGGGGTAGAAAAACGGAGCAACAAAGGAACGACCTTCACACACACGCCGTCAACCTCACAACCTTTTTTTTTTTTTTTTTTTTTTTAAGTCTGTATACTATTTGTCACTTAAGGATGACCAGTAAATTTAATGTAGTTAAATAGCAGATATTTGCGGTAATTGGGAGACGAGATAATTAATTATTGCTGCTAATTAAAAAATTAAAGAACAAAAGGCCTACCTTGGCCGTTATGTTTCTTCTGTTTTCATCTGTTGCTTGCACTGCAGGTAATCCAATGTAATCCGATTGAGAAAAACACAGAAATTATAGGTAAACACACTCACACTGCACTGTATAATATCGCAAAAATTGAAGAATTTCTTAAGTCCCGAAAATTGCTGAAGAAATTAGTAAATTCAGAAGTTATTGACGGATTTTCTCCAAATTTTGAAACTTCCACTTCCTGGGGCTTGAGTTGAAGAATGTCGTTTATTCCAGAATGCTACGCCAATTAGGGGCTTAATTAGCAGGCTGATTAGTATTACTCCAGTACCTCTTGTTTACCTTTGTAGACTGGTTTCAATTCGAGGACGACGGGGGGTAGATGACATCCGGTTGACCGTCGGAGTGGGAAAAGGTCAGAGTTCACCAAATTAAAACGTGGTAAATCATATAAAAATTAATTTCGCGACTTCTAATTATCTCACTGCTATGAAATTACCCTCAAAATACTCGTGAAGATGTGGAGCGTCTAGCAGTATGAAAATCCAGGCTCATCGATGAAAGGTGACTGCTGGGCGGGCGATCAAATACGCGTTGTAAGGCTTACTTGGGTATTCGAAGCGTAGATGAAGCAATTAATCTGTAATTAATTAAACGGTGGACCAATCTTGAAAATTTTGCATCGATGTGCTCCTTAAGATGTTGGCTATCCACTGCAGGTGATTTTAGCTAGATGCGCTGCGTATTTCCGCGAATGCTGGGATAGAAAACGGAGGAGGAGCAACAAAGGAAAGGAACGACCTTCACACACGCCGTCAACCTCACAACCTTTTTTTTTTTTTTTTTTTTTTTAAGTCTGTATACTATTTGTCACTTAAGGATGACCAGTAAATTTAATGTAGTTAAATAGCAGATATTTGCGGTAATTGGGAGACGAGATAATTAATTATTGCTGCTAATTAAAAAATTAAAGAACAAAAGGCCTACCTTGGCCGTTATGTTTCTTCTGTTTTCATCTGTTGCTTGCACTGCAGGTAATCCAATGTAATCCGATTGAGAAAAACACAGAAATTATAGGTAAACACACTCACACTGCACTGTATAATATCGCAAAAATTGAAGAATTTCTTAAGTCCCGAAAATTGCTGAAGAAATTAGTAAATTCAGAAGTTATTGACGGATTTTCTCCAAATTTTGAAACTTCCACTTCCTGGGGCTTGAGTTGAAGAATGTCGTTTATTCCAGAATGCTACGCCAATTAGGGGCTTAATTAGCAGGCTGATTAGTATTACTCCAGTACCTCTTGTTTACCTTTGTAGACTGGTTTCAATTCGAGGACGACGGGGGGTAGATGACATCCGGTTGACCGTCGGAGTGGGAAAAGGTCAGAGTTCACCAAATTAAAAACGTGGTAAATCATATAAAAATTAATTTCGCGACTTCTAATTATCTCACTGCTATGAAATTACCCTCAAAATACTCGTGAAGATGTGGAGCGTCTAGCAGTATGAAAATCCAGGCTCATCGATGAAAGGTGACTGCTGGGCGGGCGATCAAATACGCGTTGTAAGGCTTACTTGGGTATTCGAAGCGTAGATGAAGCAATTAATCTGTAATTAATTAAACGGTGGACCAATCTTGAAAATTTTGCATCGATGTGCTCCTTAAGATGTTGGCTATCCACTGCAGGTGATTTTAGCTAGATGCGCTGCGTATTTCCGCGAATGCTGGGGTAGAAAACGGAGCAACAAAGGAACGACCTTCACACACGCCGTCAACCTCACAACCTTTTTTTTTTTTTTTTTTTTTTTTAAGTCTGTATACTATTTGTCACTTAAGGATGACCAGTAAATTTAATGTAGTTAAATAGCAGATATTTGCGGTAATTGGGAGACGAGATAATTAATTATTGCTGCTAATTAAAAAATTAAAGAACAAAAAGGCCTACCTTGGCCGTTATGTTTCTTCTGTTTTCATCTGTTGCTTGCACTGCAGGTAATCCAATGTAATCCGATTGAGAGAAAAACACAGAAATTATAGGTAAACACACTCACACTGCACTGTATAATATCGCAAAAATTGAAGAATTTCTTAAGTCCCGAAAATTGCTGAAGAAATTAGTAAATTCAGAAGTTATTGACGGATTTTCTCCAAATTTTGAAACTTCCACTTCCTGGGGCTTGAGTTGAAGAATGTCGTTTATTCCAGAATGCTACGCCAATTAGGGGCTTAATTAGCAGGCTGATTAGTATTACTCCAGTACCTCTTGTTTACCTTTGTAGACTGGTTTCAATTCGAGGACGACGGGGGGTAGATGACATCCGGTTGACCGTCGGAGTGGGAAAAGGTCAGAGTTCACCAAATTAAAACGTGGTAAATCATATAAAAATTAATTTCGCGACTTCTAATTATCTCACTGCTATGAAATTACCCTCAAAATACTCGTGAAGATGTGGGAGCGTCTAGCAGTATGAAAATCCAGGCTCATCGATGAAAGGTGACTGCTGGGCGGGCGATCAAATACGCGTTGTAAGGCTTACTTGGGTATTCGAAGCGTAGATGAAGCAATTAATCTGTAATTAATTAAAACGGTGGACCAATCTTGAAAATTTTGCATCGATGTGCTCCTTAAGATGTTGGCTATCCACTGCAGGTGATTTTAGCTAGATGCGCTGCGTATTTCCGCGAATGCTGGGGTAGAAAACGGAGCAACAAAGGAACGACCTTCACACACGCCGTCAACCTCACAACCTTTTTTTTTTTTTTTTTTATACAAATGCTTACTTTTTTATAAAGGCACATTTTATTATAGCTTTTCATTTAATATTAATAATACAATTTTTCGAAATTGCATACCATAAATATGAATTTCCTGTTTCATTTCATATGATATAATTCTAAGAATACAGCTAGACTTTTCATATCGATTATCTCTAAGGGCGACCAGTATATTTAATTAAACGTCAGTATTGATACGTATGATATTAGTCTGTAAAACGACGGGTCTAAGACTTTTCACCGTCGCCATTTTTTACCGTGGCTGTTTCGCCCGTCGGGACCTTTCGCCGTCAAGACAAATTTTTTCTTTACTTGCCTGTATTTTATCTTACCGTATTATACTCGTATTAAATTTATTTAGTTTAAGAATTCTGTTTACCTTTTACTTTTTGTATACTTAATAAAGATTGCTTTAAATATATAATTATTTAAAAGTATGAGATATAAAGAAATTGAACACAGTTAGTTGGAAAATTAGGTCAGTATAAAGTGAACTGGGGCTTTCTTTCTTTCTTTCCACCGACAGCGAGGCAGCCGGTCCACTGGGTAGTTAGCATATCGGCCAGGTAGCCCCGCTGACGGAAATAACTTGAACAAAAGACACACTTATAAATACATATTGTTCTCAAGACGAGTGCTGGGGGCAGTGCCAGAAGTTATATTATCGATTTTAAAATTATGCGGGTACAATATTGACATGATTCGTCAAAATTTTAATTGGCTAATTCAGAGAAACCACACAAAAACATTTTATATACAACATTACACAAAAACATTTTATATAATAAGTTAAATTAAATTATTAAACTAAACATAGTTTGAATCAATTTTATATATTACGGCAAGATGGTACAGTCGCGTAAAGAAAAATAGGTCTTGACGGCGAAACGGCCCGACGGCGAAACGGCCACGCCGAAATGGCCACGGCGAATAGTACACTTCCCAAAACGACCGCTGTATAACCCAATAAGGACAATCAAATATGTTTTAAGCCGATCCCAACATACTTTCTAATTTGACTCTCGAATTTAACTATTCTGTGTACTAAAGCAAGAAGTTGCAATTTGAGCATTCTCGCATTTTCTCTGTTTTATTCGTCATGATAATTTTGCAACTTTCATGCTAGTCTTAATTCAAGTGAAATGATTTCTTTCTTTGCTGAAAATCTATTATTTCAATAGGAATTATTGCAAATTCATTTTTAAGTGTTTTTTTAACTGGCGGATAACTTGAAGTGCGCCTCTTTCCTAATAGAAATAATTTCTTTATTTTTCAGAGGACTTCAAAATACCTTTCTGTGATGAAGATAATTTTATCCTTTGCTATCTGAGAACAAAAAAATTCGATGCTAAGAAAGCTGCAGAACTTTTCCGCCGGGGAATACAGTTCATTGATTCTCACAGAAGTTTATTTGACAGAGTGGACTCAGCTGTGGTTCGACAATTTCTGCAAGCCAATATAGCTGGTTTTCTTCCTTACAGAGATAGCAAAGAAAGAGCCATTGCTTACATCAGAGCTGGTAATATTTATTAATACTGAAAGAAAAATTAGCTTACATTAAATAATATCTAGCAGAAAGATGTCCAACTAGCGTGCAGTAAACTGAACCACAATTATTGTTATTACTGCTCTCGGATATGATTTTAAACATATGATGGCCATCAACAGAACTTGTTGAAAATATCAGTTGTATCATTCAAAATTTACTTCAGTGAAAATGTTTTGCTTCTCTTGGACTCCCGTAGAATTTTCATAAATCTGTAATATGACTTGAGCCTTAAAATATGAGGAGATTACCATATTTTACTGAAAAATTATTTAAAATAGTACTTTAAATTATTTACGTTTACAGTCTTATATTTTGTACCGGTGTTGTTTTACCTGCAATACTGTTAAAAATAGTTTGAAATACATTATCTAGAAATCATACAGGTTTGTTACTTCAGGACGTATTCAGAAACGTAGATAAAACAAAACATTGGTTAAAAGTTCTTAAATGTATTTTATGAAAGTCTTGAGTTTATATCTAAAGCTCCTGAAATTTATGTTACTAATCAAATTCAAGTAAATACGTTAAGTACCGCATACACAATGGAATAAGTTCTTCTAAATGTGTACGGAAAAAATCGTTCCTTTTTTAACTCTTCGTAAAATTTTATGTTTCGAAAAATAAATGTAATATTCTTAAATTCTTCGTAAATAAACGTTTTTTTTTTTTAAATTTTGTTTCATTTAATTTTATTTTTGCTTTCATTCGTAAGGGGAAAGTTTCCAATTATGTGAACGAAAAACTCTTGACACTAATCAAATTGAAGTAAAAATTTAGCTATTCAATGAATTAGTGTAGAACTAAAGTCTTTCCTATAGAAAATTTACAATACATTATTTTAGATTGATAGAGTTCTGCTTCAGTTTTTATTTGCGAAAGAAGTATTTTCGTTTTGTGTCTTTCGTAAGAGTAAGCACACTTTTTTTGGAAAGTCTTCTATGAAAAGCATCCTTCCCGAGGCACATAAGCTTAAAGCGCAAATATACACTGAAATACATATAAGCACGCCGTAGTTTAAAGCGCTGTATTAAGCATAGAATTTTAATACCATTACCAGTTCTAAGAGGGCTTTCCTAAGTTCTAAATGTGAAAATTCTACTGTGACAGAAATATTTAACATAAGTGATGCAGTATATATGTAATCTACATGTAATATATTTTCTCCAAAGATTAAAAAGGTAACCCAAAAGAAGCAATAAATTTACTCATTTTCTCTATTCAACATTTCATAGTTTTCAGAGGAATTTATCAGATTCAAGGATGCCTAACTCTATTCTATGTTTATATTTATTTTGTAAGGAATTTATTATCACAATAGCTTTCTTTCTCTTAAGTAGAGTGTCGAATTTCCTAAATTAATCTACTTAACTAAGTATCACTCATTGTTGAGAATTCAGTCTATCTACTTTATATTATTATTTAATAATATGTAATTTAATCCTGGTTCATTCATTTCTGCGGAAATTAGTAGATATTGTCATTTGTTATTATGATTTTATTCAGTTGTACTGTATGATTTAAATTGCAATAAATAACATAAATTATCTTCAAATAAGTAGCCAAATTAAATTTTCACATATTTTCCCCCTACGAATGCACACTTTGATTTCTTTTAGTTGATGAACTCTTGTGTCCTCTTTAATAGAATCTTGGGATCCTGAGGAAATCTCTGCCGAAGATACCATTTTTGGAGGGATAGTGACCTTACGTTCGGCTATGGAAAATCCAGTTAATCAAGTGGCAGGATTTGTTGCCATATTAGATCTGAAAAATTTAAAGTTGGAACAGGTGTTAGCCATAAGCAGTTGGCTCATATTAGGAACACAAGCTATGCAGGTAAATTTTTTTCTTGTACTAAATTTCTGATTCTGTTATGAGTTTAAATGAAGTAGGATGTTAGAATATAATCTAAATTTTTAACTCAATGAAATTACTTGTCTTGTCATATAGTATTTTAGCACATATTATAATAACATATCAGCTACAACATTACAAATTCAAAAATGATGGTCTTGTTTTAATATCGTACTTTGATTCGTGAAGTTCATGTGTTTAACATTGAAATGTCATATTTTTCTATTTTGAAATATTATTGACAGAAAACATAACAGTGCAATACACAGTTATGGTTTTTGTATTGAATTAACTATTTTTAAATAGAATTAATTAAAATTGTTTATATTACTGTGCAATGCAGCACGAGACTTATTTGAAGAGAAAGCTACGCCAGAAAAAATTAAAAATACAGGAGCACGGGCATTTAATAAATAGATATCTTGTACTAATTCAAAAGTCAAAAAACAAAAATCAGCGTTATATTTTCAAAATTTTCACAGGACTAGTTTCGATGGTTTTACCTAACCACCATCCTCAGCTGTAAGCCATCGAAACTAGTCCTGTGAAAATTTTGAAAATATAACGCTGATTTCTGTTGTTTGACTTTTGAATTAGTATTTGTTCGGCGTGTTATTGTGTCTTAATTATTGTGTCTTAATTAAATATCTTGTAATTGTACGCTTTTGCTTTTAGAGAAGAATCGAGAAAATGCCAGACTGTGTTCTTGTGTGATATAAAAAAGCTTATAAAAGGAGGAAAACTTCTCAATTCAATAGTTGTTTTATGAGTTGTTCTAGAAAACTGTTGTTGTTTACTGTAGCGAATTCACGGCGAGATTGGATTAGCTTTCTCTACGTTTCTCTGTTTTGAATTAACATTTTTAGTAGTTTAAAAGATAATTACTGTGAGATATTGGGATACTGTACGAATATGTGAGGAAATTTAAGCATTTTGTTTTATTTGTTGTAATAACAATAAATTTTATTCATTTTTCATCGCACTTGTTCATTCAATTCATGACGAACCCGTACTCACGCCACAATACCAATTTTCAAATGAAATCGATCATAAAAAATGCAAATTTAAAACTCATTTACATTACGCTACTATTTCTTTTAAAGTAGTAGCGAAAATTACCTTTACGAATAGAATATTTAATATATTTTCTGAAACTTTATTCACAGTTTTTAGTTCAATTCATATTAATTTAAGTTAAATGTCTAGCAGAATGCATTTGCATGATGTTTTTTAAGTGTTCCAAAGTCTGCATAAATTTCCTAAATTTATATAATTTGAGTTGATTGTATAATGGATCGCGTGGGCAAGGGGCTTAAATTGTAAGAGAGGATTCGCAAAAATATTTTGTAGAGGTTATTTTAAGTTTCCTACCGTTATTTTAAATTTTAAACATGCTTTACTGTCTATTCTTTTTTCCCACCTACTATTCCCTACCAGAATAAGTTTTTAGTATTGCGTCGCATGTAAATGAGGCAGAAAGAATATTTTAAGGAATAATATAAATGAGGCAGAAAGAATATTACGGTTTCGCTTACTTCAGCAGAAAAGCTTGGGAGAAACCTTGATGGCGCATGTTTGCCGTCAGGCTACTTCGTTGTTTAAAGCTAACTATGCTCAGCCGTATCGTACTTGGCTGCTGATATTCGCCGGTGAGTTTAATTTAAAGCTAACTACATTAGATAATTTTTGTACAGCTTCAGCTAAGTTCAGTTTAGTTTAGCATTAGATTAGTTTCTTGTTTTCTTATCTTGAGTTAAAGGCCAAGGGGAGGCCCTTTTTTATAAGCCCGATAAAGAGGCCATCTGTCTTCTTAGTTTGAGTTAATAAAGAATTAATTAATAAAGGTTTTATTAACTCTTCTGTTCATTTACATACTTGGACTCAGCGTATACATAAGTAAGCATAGACAAAGTAGTTAGAAACATTACAATTTATTTCAAAGTTTCGCTGGTACAAATTCTGTGTTATATCGACAGTAACGTTCGCAATAAATATAGAAAATTCATGAGACCTTTTATTTATCAGGAAGATTATTATTCAGTACGTCCTCCAGCGAACCATTTAGTACCAATTTCGGAGATATCCTGATTGTGACCCATACTGTCAATATGACCCAGCCCTTTTTCATAGTGCAGAACTCGAGTTACGTATTTTTACGTTACACCTTTCATTTTAAGCAACAAATGTTTAGAATAATTACCAAGAAAAGGAAATTTCGTTCGTATCTTTCTTAAATGGTTAGGTAAAGCATAAATTTGTATTTAATTCTTGGTAATTATTTATTGAACAACACACTCGTTTGTGTTTCTCTCTAGACCTAACTCTAGACATTTTGTGTTTCACATTTTCTCTACATACTAGAACGAAATAATGAAGGTTTCTTTCACTTGCTACTTTCATCGTCAAGTAAATAGTTAAATAGTGTCCGTTACATTAACCAGAAACATAATCAGGAAGAATTGTAATTACTGTAACTGGTAAAGTGAAGAATTCTGTTTTATATTCTTGAATAATGAACGTGTTTGAAAAACACAATATTATGCATAAATAATATTGTGTACATAAGTAATACTTGCGCAGACTAATGACGACCGCCTTTTCACTCAGCGAGCAAATCTGTTAAACCACATTTCGTAATTTTCTCCAAAATTTAGATAATAGAACAAGTTTGTAGTTGTCAAGTTCTCACTTTTGCAACTTGATGAATAAGAATCTCAGTAAAGTGCCCCAGTTGTTTGACCTAGTTTCTTTCCTTTATATTAAATTGAAGAGAAAAGAATATTTTTTCATATGTTTTCTTAATGGGTTTTCGTTTTTGATGTAGTGTAAGATTAACGTCATCACAATATTTCATCATTTCATCCGCAAGATTGTAAAACGCGATGTAGTGCCAGTTGTGCTTAGACAGGTAAAATAATGTAATTATTTTATAATTATTTTATTGGAGCGTCTTTCGTATACTTATTTTAGAATTCAAAGTATTAATAACAAATAATAATGAAATGTAATAAAGCTATGAAAGCTTAAATATAAATATTTTGGTATAGATAAATCGGTTGAATTTTAATATATCCTATAAGTATTTAATCTCACAACAACGTTTGAAAATTCAATGAATTTTCCTCTAAAAAATGTAAAAACTGTGAAACGTAAAAATTGTAAAAAAATTTAAAATGTACATTTAGCGATATGCATTTTGAAAAATATCTTTCTTCTTCAAAGAGGATATTTTATTACTTTCGCTATTAAAAGATGACATATTTATTTACAACTATTTAATTTTCTTTGTCTTTAAATTTGTTGGTGTAACAATTAAATTTGCAGAATTTTCGCTGAAACATTAATTTTAATTTAAATTATTGATCTTGAAATTTTGTTTCAATACTGAAAAGCTTCATTTTCTTTTTAATGCTTTCGTTTCTTGACATGAAATTGGCGGAGGATCATGCTCTGGCGACAGCAGATTTTTTGATATACTGTTAGATGTGTGGAGAAATATGTTTGAATTTTTGGAGTTTATTGCTGCGCCTATTTTTTTTTCTTCGCATTTTAATGTAAGTCAATATTAAAGTTCTTCAAATGGGAAAAATTGTTTCAATTATGAAAGAAATTTAAAATTATAATTTATTGAACATTCATGGAAATAACTGGTATTCTCTAAAATTCAGAAAAGCCTTTATGTTCTCGAAAATAGTCGAAAAAATTATACAAGATTCGTAAAAAACAGCACATGTTAATTTAAATGAAAAAACTGCATTAGTATTGTTGTCTTGTCGATGAAATTTCATGGAAGAATGCTTGCCAGAGTCTCAAGGAGGTTGGATTTCTGCTTTCACCCCAATTTTCAGGGAGAGCAGCACCTCCCTTCTCCACTTCCATCAAACCACACGAGAGGACCTTCGGCTCGTCATGTATTTAGAGTGGCCCCATGCTGCAAAGACACTATACATTTACAACCATTCATGCCTTCTCCGGTATTCGAACCCGGGCTCTTCGGAACTGCAGTAGGCTCTCGTAAACACTATACCGTCTGGGCGGCACTGCACTATCTTTACGCATATAAAATTGCGCGTTCTCTTATGATCGAAAAAAGAACTTAAAACTCATATATTATAGTCTTTTAAAAAACGTGTGGAATTTTGAAAAATGGCATTTGTTTATATCAAGTATCATCTTCGCTTATTCCCAAAATTATTTTACCTGGAACTACGGCAATCAATAACGCTTCACAGAGCTATAATGCCTTTGATAGTAAAACGATGCAGCAAATTTGCACAAACACTGGGATCTTCTATGTCATTGATTGGGCACGAAGACCTGTTACAGTTAAACGAAAATGCTACTTGTATTTGAAAATTTTTTTCGCATTCATTAAATGCATCGTTATTTGATTACATGTATTAAAGCTTACAAATTTACAATATATCCAGAAATATTCATATCCTTTGCGTCTAAGACGCGTAAAAAATTCGTAAAATGCGATACTTAAAATATTAAATAATCTGTCTTAGCGGATGACATGATACAGGCTCCAGAACGTAGCCCGGTTCTGTTTGTAATAGGTGAAGAAGTTGATAGCAATTATAGTTAGCATTTCGAAGCTGATAAATTCGGAGTGCAATATGCGCTCCAGATTGCAGGCGAAAAACCGTTAAGTCCGATGAATTTAGAGGTTGAATACTCGCCGCATAAGCGCCGAGGAAACCAGATGTAAACAGCTGAGTGGGCGAAGTATGATGTCAGGAGTCGAAAGTTTCTGAAATGCTGAAAGTAAGGAGTTAACAAAAAGTACCTCTGGATTGGAGGGAAGGGGAAAGAATTCTACAGAATTGCGTGTCAAATTAAATTTAGAAAAAGGTAGTAACTATTAGGCCAAATAATAACGAAAATGTGGTTTGAATAATAAATAGAACAGTAAGTTTATGCATATTATAAAAAACATATTTTCTTAATGTAGGGTTTGCAATATATTAAGAAAAGGTTTTTTTATTAAAATAAAATTCCTTTATCAAATTAAAGTGCATGTGCAGTGTTCCTTTGTTAAATTAAAGAACGCAATTGTAGTCGAATTTTTTTAATGTCTCTGTGCATTAAACTTAATATCATCATATTTCTCTTCCCACTGATACGGATAAAAAGAATTTTATCTTATTTTTAGAGAGCTGTGTAAGAAATGCAAGAGAATTTTTTTTTTTTTATTCCTTAAAATCTGAGAGTACAAGAGCATTTTCATTTGTAGATTTTTACTTTTATAATGCAAGCTGCATACTAAACGTTTTGCAGTACATGAATTTTGAAAGAATAAGAGTTTATTCAATAAAAGATTAATACAGCGTAATTTGTCGACTAAGATGTTATTTGCTATAGCAGCTTCCAGCGCTATTTTATTCACATTTATTCGTAATCTATTTAATGACTTTGAAACTACTAATTTATTTTAAAATATGACTTTTTTTTTTATTCTAGCGTTGCTGTCCTTGTATAGTCAAAGAAATTCATCTGATAAATATGCCACCTATTTTTAAAGTAGGCTGGAAACTGGTGAAACCTCTTCTGAGTGAAAAGATTCGAAAAAGAGTAAGTTATATTCATTTGAGTCTAAAATGCAAATGAATGCTGTGTCGAAAGGCTTAATGTGAATCATGGGTTGCTTATCCTTCGAATGGTAATCACGGAAAGGAAAAAAAAAGGGGGTGGAAAAAAAGAAAAACTTGGATGCTTTTTGTAAACCACCGTTCAGCATTGCAGAAAAACAATACCCACACCTGATATCACTTTATAATTTTTGTTCGTGCATTAGTAATAGACAAATATCGAAATTTTCTTGATATACATTTGGAATTTTGTTTGCATTCTGTTATACAATATCCAATACCCATTAGGTGAAAGCATTTCTTTATTTTAAGCTGTGTATCGATTACACGATAGGCAGATAGAGGCATTCCAACCAGCAAAATAATTTTAATTAATTTAATCGTGTTTAATCCTTATATTTAATAACAGCTATACTGAAACAATAACTTTATATTTATAGAGGAGATAACTGCTTTCATACTAACTTCGGTTTATAATAGGCCTGAAAAAGATTCCAATAAAACCTTCAGTCATCCAAGTTCTTCTTTAACTAATAGCTACTTATTAAATCTTCTCACACATTGATCACTAGCATAAATAACCTTCATTTGTATCAAACAGTAGAACTGATGAGAAATCAAACACTTAAGTACCCTAATTGCTATATAATTAATTTTGACTCGAACTTTTTTGCGGATTTAGTTCATAATTTAGAGCAGGGGTTCCCAACCCTATGCCCGCGGGCACTGTGGCGCTCGCAAATCGTTTAACGTGTGCCCGCCGCTGTGTGATCACAATATATAATTTTTTTTAAAGTTTCCAATAAAATTCTATGTGAAAGTTGTCTCATTTTTAACGAAATAGAAATTGTGTTCAACACGGGTTCCATCACAAAGTGAAATGCAACCGATCTTTTTTTTTATGTTGCATGTATTAAAAACTCTATCCAACTATAAATTCACTTTGAAAACATGAATGGTGCCTGCTCTCCAACAGGTACTCTAGAGTCTAGAATGTGCTCTTAGGGACAAAAATTTTGGCTTTATTCTTGCGTTTTTTTTGGAGAAAACGAAGAAAATTTTGAGTTCACATCCTTAACGGTATTTATGAGGAATTTTAGTAAATTGAAATAGCGATCAAAAGCATAATCCAAAATAAAAGCGAGAAACCTCAGATATTTTTACTTTATTTCTATCAGCAACAGAAATCAGTATTTTAAGTCCCTCTAGTTAAAAAACAATTGTTTTAAAATTAAAGACAACTTTTTCAGCCTATGATATTTTACTTTTAAATTTGCAGAAATTTATTTGAACTAAGATAAGGAATAGGGAAGGCAAAAAATAGTTTCGGCTTCACATAGCCTTAAATGCTTTACGTATACCCATTTTCATGTTTTCATTCTTGATGAAATGGTATAAACATTCATAACTAGCTGATATAGTTTAAAATTTGCTTATTGAAGCATAGACCGCCAATTAATATAAATCACTTGTTTAATTTTTTATCATCACAACTACGTTTATACTTTCAGCATTTTCAAAATCAGTTCATCCTTGATACACTTTGTCATATTTTAATTCTCTTATTCATGATATTTCTATTTGATCTAAAAGATTAACACCAAAGCACTTCTCTAACACATTCAAGATGAAAGAAACGCTTGTAAAATGTTTTTATAAAGTAATATTGCTGTACTGCAACTTAATAGTTTTAAAAATAAATTTCTTATTCGTTAATTATATTTATTTATTTAGAGTAATTGCTTATCCAGATAATATTTAAAATCAATAATCTTTCTGAAGGAATTAAAAGAGCACACTTAAATTTCGGAATATATTTTAACCGAAGAAATAGTCTTACGGAAAATTTCTTCAAAAGTCTTAGAATATTTAACTTCTTAAAAAATTTAAATGTTGATTGATGCAATTTACTTTATTGTAAAACAAATGCTATTTTTCCATTACAGATAATGTTTCATAAAAGCACTGACTGGAATAGTCTTCATAATCTTATATCGCCAAAGATTCTGCCATCAGAGTTGGGGGGTATATTGGGACCCTTTAGCAATCAGCACTGGATACAAGACATTGATTCCATTGAACGCCAATATTATGAACGACTACAAACATGTTCACCATTGAAACAAAAAAACATGTTTAAGAAGTAACAGTTTATTTATATTATTTATTCTTTCAAGGAGCTGAATGTCTTGATTTTTTGTTGACATTAATTTATGTAATTTTAGATACTCAGGTGATTTCAGTTTATAAACATGGCATTACCTTTTTAGAACGATAATTCGTTATACATGTATGTATATGCTGATCGTTTTTAAGCTCAGGTATAATAAAAGGTTTTCTGAAAAAAAAATTAGAAACTCGAAATTGAAGGTGAATATCCGATTTCCATTACCTACTGGGCTCCCAAAAAAGATAGCTAGTAAGAAAATTAACTAACAGAAATTGAACATTTTCTTTCATTTCCCCTAAGCACTCTATGAACACAGATAGGTTAAGATAGGTCACAAATTATGTTTATTAATTTAGGGATATCTATTTTCTCCAGGGATGACTAGTTAAGCCTAATATATAGTGTCCTATGAAATCTATAAAACAAATTTAGACGTAAATTTAATGTTTAAAAAAATTGTAAATTGACGTTTTGTTAACCGAGAATTAAAACTTAACCGAGAAAAAAACTTATATTTTCAATATGCATTCCGCTGAAATTTTTTATTGGGTAAGTTAATAAGCTTCTAACTCTTCAGTTTCATGTGAATGGCACTAAAATCATACATAATCTAGAAATTTAAAGATACGGGTAATGGAATTTATGTTTTTAAAGCTTAAGTTTTACTTTTCTTAGCGCACATTTAGAAATTTAAAAACAGTAGTAAAATAATTTTGAGAAAGTTATTGCCTGGATATATATAAAATATGCATGTACATATATATGTAATTTGTTTACAAATATTAAAGGTTGTTAAATGTGTTGAAGAAAGATTTCTCAATTCCAAAATTATATGTAAAGTTCGTTATGCAGAATCTGAGGGTTTTAAACAATGCATTTGATATGTGGCTTCTGATCATTCTAGAGCATGTTGTTGTTGTTATTATTTTGTACTGAATATTTGGCTCAACAAATGTTTTTTATATTGTATATTTTTCTGAGTTTTTAATGATCATTATTTATTTACGCATCAGTTGTTTTTAGTTTGTAAAAAAACATTTTGAATGATTTCACAAACATTTTTACCCATTTAGTTTTTGTTCAAAATACATTGCAAATTTTGTTCTTAATATTTTTAAATGTTATCTTTTAGTCCCAATAAAACTTGATTTTTTTTCTGATTTATTCTATCATTTACAATATATCACATTCCATAAATATTTCACATTAAATATTATTAAAACTTGCAAAAGCAAAATTGTATGATTATTAATACTAAGTTGCAATTAATATCTGGATAAATGTAGTTATCGGATGTATTAACCAAGTATTATAATCTATTGATATTTTTTAATCCAACTAGATATCACTGTATTGAAGATTTTTCTATTATTAATTAAGCAGTTAGAAATATGCTGTTTAGATATTTTCAACTCCCTTTTCTTATAATTAAAATCTCAAATACACCAAATTTACGCTGATATGAACTTATTTGAATTAATATTAATATGCATTTCTAAGGTTTATTATGATTTATATAATGTATAATATATGATATGTAAATAATAACTTGCACCTATATGTGTTAGTAATTATTAGTATCTCTTCTTTATTTTCAACATTTGCAGTATTCTCTAGTGATGTATTCCGTGGCATTTAATACTTTTATGCATATCTCTTTGTAATTAATGACTTCTGGTCTTTCTGTCATCGCATTTAAAGATATGGGGGACTTTTTAAAACATAATTCTATTCATAATTGTCAGACTTTAATTTCCTAAAAATCTCAGAAATTATAAATGTTAAATTATTTTTCATTTTGTTACACTTTAGCTAAAAATTTGATGAAGGAAAGAAGTTAGAAAACTGGTTCTGATTTCATAAATCCTAAACGATTTTGTTCTAAGTTTTTCTTATTGTGAAAGTCAATTAACTTCCATGTTATGATTTTATGACAAAACCTTGCTTCATTAATTATTTACAATAAATGATTTATTGTGTTTGAAGAGATCATTAAGGAAATCAAGGTTTTTCTCCATATGGCAATCTTGCAAAAAAATAGATTCACAAACACCACGATATAGTAATTAAAGATGAAAGTTTTGTTTAACATGGAAACAAATTATTTTCTATGTTGTTCTTCATGTCCAAATGCTGATTTTTAGTCAATTACCAAGGAAGACTTCTTTTATACCTGAATAAAATCAACAAACTTCCAAACGGCAAAACAATATTTTATATATTCAACCGTATTCATCTTTGTACCTTGAAATAAATACACATCCTTGAAATGTGTCTTCATCATTAAAAGTATAAAAAGTTCAGATAAAAATAGTAGGAGCTTTTTCGAAATGTAATGAAGAAAATGCCTTTTTTATAGCTTCTTTTGGGAATCTGTTTTTGTTCGAAGCGAAATCTTTGAAAAGAAAGTCAAAATCACTTGAGATACTGGGCTTGTAGAAAATTAGATTAACAAAATATAATTATGTACTTAAAAACGTATAAGATCTGCAAAATAGAGAGCTTTTAATAAATTCGAAGTCGAACCATGAGGTTATACTTGCGAGATGAAAAAAAATCAAGCAGTGAAAAGATTTCTCCGTAATATTAAAACAAAAACTATTAAAACAAGGAAAGGTTGTTAGCCAGTAATGCTTACGAAATTTACCTTGTTCTATCACATTAAGAATTAACATTATAATTACGTATTGTTACTTAAGTACTTATCGTTCCTTATTCCTTCGTACTTGACTTCATATTCTGTGTTACGATAGAGCTTTTATTCAGATTGGTCTGAATCAGGGTGTATGAATCTCAGTCCGCGAATATCGAACATATCGTTCAGCGGTTCTTGACGATTAGAGAGCATAACACTGACAAATGTTCATGAATTTATGTTCGCATTCGATAGTAATACTTCACTTTCTAATGCCACCATCTAAAGCTGGTCTACCATTTTAAGGAACGCTAGATGATCTCCTGAAGGTGACTGTAGACAAAGTCGTAGTGTTCACGTGACCATCGAAAATATATGTGTGAAAGTTGAGGAATATGTCATGTAAAATTGATACGTAAGAGTTTCTCAGATTGCGATGGAAACGGACATCAATGTTGGTTACAATGGGGAAAAATGACTTACATTGAAAATCTGTATATGCCAAAGATATGCGCCATAAATAAGCAACTTGATTGCTAACAGGTACAGGTACAAGTTGTCGAAACACCAGAATTTCACCACTCTCTAGTCCCAACGCGCTATGTAGCTCTGTCCAAGTTTCGATGGAGGACACTTCCGGGGATGATCCGAAGGTCTTCTAGCTCTTTTCATTTATCACCAAAACACTGGAGAGAACTTTTAACTTGCAAATATTAAGTGCACCCAATTCCGGGGTGGATATCTGCCTTCTTTGGGATTTGAACCCGAATCCATCGGCGCAGCAGCCAGCGCCGCTACTCATTATACCGATCAAGGCGGCCTGCAGCTGTTGACGTCAGAAATGAAGAGAGGGCTGATTGCTTTCGAGAGCTGTTCTTTATATCATAAAAGCCAGCAAGGATCATTTTTATTCGTGGCTGGCGACAAAAAAAAAATGAGATGTGGCTCACTACAGTGACTCGGAAGCGAAACAAGAGAACATGGTGCAAAAGCACGATATCTGCTGGGAGAACTTCGTTTACCCCTTTTTCAGATAAAGATTGGCCGTTGCTCATTGAATTTTTGTCATGTAAAACCTCGATAACACATATGTATTATTCAAAGTTTTTTATTCTATTCCGGCAAGCCATAAAAGAGAAAAGCGATAGAAAACACAGCTGAAAATATTACTTTTGCATGACAGTGAATCAATAAGCAAGGTTTAGATTTTAATTTAGATGTCAAACAAGACTCAAGGTTCAGATTCAGATTGTCAATTGCTAAATAACAACATAGGTTTCAGCTTTTCCCCAGCTTACCGTATTCACTATACCTGGCTTCAAGTATGTTATTTTTATTTGTATCAAAGATTTTCTTTGTTTATTTCTTTGTTTTTTAACTAATTTTCATAATTTGCAAGATTCGAGTAACAGAGACGAATAACAGCATGAAAGATGTCGCTTCAAAGAATACTTTCGCGATTGTAACAAGCACTTTTTTTTTTCTGCTGGAACTCGATACTTGACTCATAGAAATGCTAAGTGCGTTGAAGTCAAGGGGAATTAGATAAAAAATCGAATAAATAGTTTCGGAACACTTATTTCCGAGAGTATGCTAGGCTTACAAGTTATAGAACGGTCTTTGCGTGTAACTTCATATTTTAATTAGTTCTTGCTTTTACATTTTTTTACTTAATATAAGAAAAAATGTTTAGTCAGCATGCAAATGCAAAATATTTTGCCTGCTGTTATGTACTAGAGTAAATTGGCATTCAACCTGAACATTCCTCTTTTTCACTTTATATGACAACAAAAGGAGAGGGAATTGTACTCAGTTTATAATTTCTGGAAATTCAAAAAAAAGATTCTTAGATACATCAAGAACAAACTACAACAATATTTTAATTTTTACACATAATATAAGTAATATAAAAATTTCTATATAGTATTTCGAATAATATAACAGAAACAACACTGTACACTGTATATTAGTGATTTTAGATAACTGTTTTGTAACATCTCATTACACAGAAGTCCAAATTAAATATACACGTGTATATGAAGGTATACAGAAATTGCGGTAGCTAAGACAAAAAAAAAATATTTAATCTTTATAACCATAATTGAGCATGTCTAACATTTTATTAATATTTCCATCAATAATGTCTTTCCACGAATCATTATCAAATGGTCCAGCTTTTCCTCCAAATTCTTCAGGTAAAACTTCAGGGTGTATATAATCCAAAAGCGGAGATAAGTCACTTCCGTGTAATATAAACTAGAGAGAGAAAGGAAGACGTTATGTTGGAAGGAAGTTGTAATACTTAAAAAAATTAATTTTCCACATGAAACTTATAACAGAAATGATCATTTCAAATGTAATGTACATAAAAAGGGAAGCAAAATATCTGATGTGGACACCGCATGACTTTCTTGTGTGGCCTATAAAATTATACACATTTCTTGTAGCATTTCATTCTAACTTGTTTCCTCGAATTTCATAAGAAATATCTTTTACATTCAATTAATTTCAACTTTTAACTTGCTTTACGGCAAGGCCAAAATGCATAAAATATCAAAACATCTTCATTACAAATTTTAAAATACAGAAAGACAAAAAACATCAAATGCAGTTAAAAACAGTTTAAAAGCAATTTTTACAGTTAAAAGTAGAGTTTCTAACTTAAAAGAAGGAATTTGGCCAGCGGGAAGGAGGACAGATTTTTCGATGCGCAAAATTGAAAATTTACTTTTGGTTCCACTGGACCAAAAGATACTGAAGTTGGCTCAAACTAGATTAACATATTAACAAAAACCAGATTAACTCAAGGCATAACAATCTTAACTAGAGTATAAGAACAACGTAACTCCCTGTTACCCGGCCGGTAGTTGATATATATATATACTTTTGGTGTAGCCGATCACAACGAAAACGGGTGGTGTTTAACTGCATATTATAGCAGGCCATATACAAAATTTTAAAGTTCTGAGGCTACTCATTTTTGAGTTATGTGATATATATATACGTAGGTACAGACGTCACGAAAAAAAATTTCTTCTGAATCCAATTTAAACCCATTTTACAATCCATTTAGGGGAAAAGAGTTCATTATTCTGTCCGTACGTACAGATGTTATGTAAAAACTTCGTTCAAATATATTCGAGAGCGGTAAAAATAGATATTTTCGTTGAAATATGATACCTGAAATTTTTCACAATTACAATACGTCTGTCGGTTACTTTAGACTATAGATACTCATTAAATCAGATAAATCAGACGGCTCGCTTGAATTGACAGACAAGAAGTTTCTTTAAAGGCAAAAACATTTTATTTCAATTATTTGTTACAAACTCATATCTATTTAAAAATCTCTTAAACTACTGTTCTAATCGCAGTCTCGCGATAAACTGAGGCGTTGCTACTCTTTTTCAGACAAAGTAACAACGTCCATTACATCGTATATGGAAATAAAAAGTGTCATTTGTTCTGTCCGTACGTACAGATGTCAAGGAAAAACATCATTGAAATGGATTAAAGAGTGGCCAAAATGGATACTTTCATCGAAAATATGGTACCCGACATTTTTCGCAATTACAAAATTTCCATCATTTCGTACAAGGGAGTAAAAAGGAAAGGAAAAAAATCTGAAAAATCTATATCACTTCAATATGGATCCAATTCCTTTTGCAAGGTCTGCGATCACTGGTTTAAAATGAATTACTCTCTTCTCCTTCCTTCCTGCCTAATTCTCTAGAATCCTTTAATTTTGGAAGTTAATCAGAAACTTCTTAGTCTGAAGGGACAGTTTTCCCAGATGGACTATTAATTTCGTTTTGACATTTTGGGTAAATTCACTTTAATAGTTGATTCACGTTTCAAACTGTTGCCACCAAATACTAGAACCCTGTATTATATTTAAAGAAATTAAATAATGAAGAATTCGTATAAATGTATATATGTTCCCCGCACTGGGATCCCGCATCGGTACCTAGAACCATCCAATTTTGAATAACGTGCGTTTCTATCCGAATATGGGCATCTGGAAGCCAAAATTTGGAATTTGTTTTAGTATCGATTTCATGTTTTGTAAAACTTTAACAAATTTTTTATTAACAAACTCAACGATTTCAAAGCGAGCAATGGCAACACTGTACTTTTATCTCCAGCGCGCGAGACTGTGTATCGGAAGTTCTGAAGATATGCTCATTTTAAAATTATTTTGCGATATTGCTTTTGAACTGAATTTTATGGTTAAGCGCGAAGAACGAAAAGGTAGCACACAAAACGTTAAAATAACGCCCCTTTAGGCGTAATGTAAGATCTGAAAGCTTTCAGACTTTTTTTTTTTTTTTTAGTCTTTTGTTTAGTTTTTTCTTTGAAATTCTGCAATTTAAGTATTACTTATTTTTTCCCTTTTTTGGCTTCAGTATCTTTGGATAACCTAGCAATGGAAAGAAGAAAAAGTTTTAAGAAGGACAGTTTTTTTAAGCCTTTATTCTATTCACAGAGAACATGCTTACTAATATTTAGTACACCCAAATCTTAAAAACAACTTATGAAAAATTATTTTTCCCCTATTCGCTAGTTTTAGCTACAGTTTCCCTTTCCTTATGATTATCACGTTCATCTCCTAAGCGAAAGACCAATAAAATGCTTTTACGAAAAAACACCAGCTTACATTAGTGTTCTGGAATTAATTCATCCAGGTATTACATTTTGATACATAATATTTCGTTTGGCAGTTTGAAGCAGATATTTAATACGCTTAAAAGCAAGTTTACCTATGACCCAGGATTTAGAGGAATAGATATAAAATATCTGTAATTAAGAGGATTTAGAGTATCTATAATTAACTTACAAGTCTTTTCCTTCCTCTCTTTTTCCCTTTTTTTAATTAAATTTAAAATAGATTGTTAGATACATTACTTTATATTTTAATATTATATTACTTTTGCCGTAATTTTTTAGTTATAAAATATTGTTACGAATTTGTTATTTAAAAAGCTAATGTTAGTTCATTATAAATTAATGGTTTCATTTCCGCGCAGGCAGCGCGTGACGAATATTAAAAGAAAGCTAAGCCGGAAAATTGAAAATACAAGAGCGCGTGCATTAAACATTTAATAAATACCTCTTTTTGATTTCGAAAAAGTACTAGAAAATTATCGCGCGCGATTTTAAAATCTTATAAAAGGATGAAAACCTCTCAGTTCGTAGTAGAGTCGGTGCTACTTTGGTAGACGGTTGCACGGATTTTGGCGAGTTTTTGGCAATTTTTCTTTTGGCGAGTAATACGACTTATGGTAAACCCATTGCTGGATAAGTTATTTATGGTAACCGTACTTTGTTGACATTTTATTTAAAAATAATGCGTGTTATTATGCATAAATTCAGTGTTTAAATATTATTTTGGCTTCTAAATATTAAAAATCAATTAATTTGCTTTTTATTGAAATAAAAATTTTATTCTTTATCATTTTTATTAAATTTATGCTGTGATGATGTAATAGTGACGTCACCTTACTTTAAAAGTATTGGTTTAATATCTATAAATTTAATTTAAACATTATTTATGGCTGTTAAATGTTAAAATACAATTTAATTTTGCATTTTTTTTAAAATATTTTATTATGTATGATTATTTAAATAATTTAATTCTAGGCGTGATGTAATCACTCTCTGATTGGTTTATAGAATATTGTGCATTAATGAGCTGTAATCAGCTCCCTGATTGGTTACTGAATATTTGTGCATTAACGTGCCATTTTAAAATTTTATTACTCATCTCTTCGAATTCCTTAGATTTCATAGGTAACAGATATGTCCCTTTCAAAGATTAATGTTGTTATTGGTAAGCACTAAGAATTATTGGTATCAGAATACAAAAATTGTCCTTTGAGACCTTATTTTGTCCAACCTGGCTTTCCTAATCAAAGATTTATTCATAAATTGCTACGAGGGTCAGACGAAATTTATTTTAAAGTTTTGGAGGAAACCTCACGAATTGCTTCTTCAATGAAGTGCGAGAAATGTGGATCACAGATGAAGACCGTTAGAACAGCCGATTCTGACGGCCGATGATATTGTGGTCATGTTGAAGAAAAACGCTGTACGGTAGAAAATTATTAGACATTCCTCTTTTTTCCGACAATAAACTAATTGCTGTCATTTAGCTCTAGTGTATGAAGCGTTCTTATTACTTATTTTAAAGTATTTAATTAAGTAATATTTTAATTATTTTAACGTTGGTATGATGGTTTTAATTCGATTCAATTACGTATTTTTAATCCAATTAAACGTGGCGCAATGTTTTTATAGTGGTATTTTATTCTATTTCTATGCTATTGAAAGTAATAATTTAAACTTTTCTTTATTTTATACTCGTAGTAAATGTATTTATTCATATAATATATGTATATTATATTATATATAACATATTTTAGTATTTAATTAATAATATTCTAATTCTTTAAATTGGATGTGTTTTTATTTCGATATTCATTTCAGTAATATTTAATCTAATAAACGTTGGCACAATTTTTTATAGGGGTGTTTTTATTCTCTTCTTTGCTATGAAAGTATAATAACCTTACTTTAGTATTTTATACTCATAGTAAATGTATTTATTACACTTGCCTGCCATCTTAAAAAACGACATTTCGACAAAAAATTAATCCATTATTTCTAACGATATATTTTTTTTTTTTTTTTTTAGTTCGAAGACTTAAATGCGTAAACAGCGTTTTTCAGATGGCTGACGTTGTAGAAATCGCGCCAATAATTGCGCCACGTAAATCGCCAAAAGTCCGGCAACCGTCTACCAAGTAGCACCGTAGAGTCATTGAAAGTTGAAAGTTGATGCGTTCTATTAAAGTATTGCGTCTTCTGATTATTATTGGTTTCCTTGCGTCTCTGACGTGAGGTACTCGTCCCCTCGCTATTGCATTTTGATACTTTGAGTTTTACTATCTGATTTACTTGTACTGAAAAAAAAAAAAAAAATTGCGAGTACTGTTTTATTTTCACAATTGATCGTTTTCGACTTCTAGTTCGAATCACGAACCTCAAAGGTTCAGGAAGATAAGGCTGTCGATGAAAGAGAAGCTCGTGACCTGGCCTGTTCTGCAAATTTGGACGCTTGCCAATGATGAGCGACCACAAAAGATGACAACTAGAGCTGGTTCTAATGATTCTATGCTATGCTGCGGTTCCCCACAGAAAAACACTGAAAATGATTTCCTCCCGTCCTAATATAAAGCTAATTCAAAGAGCGGAGT